GGACAAGGTTCCCCACAAGGCTGTACATGCCCTGAATCTGTTGTGCTATTTTCTGAAAGCTAGGATTCACGGGTCCAGCAGTTGAGGGGTGGAAACGGGAGTGGCACCGTTCATTATCACCTGTTGTGACTCACAAAATTTGTCTCCTCAGTCCACGGCCTTTGCTCTGCCAGCCAAGACATCTTGCCAAAAGGAAAATGTTTCCACCAGAAGGTAGAACAATAGCTGCATTGAGCTGGAAGCTAAGACTGCTGCTGGCCATTTTGGAACTGTCATACCTGGGAACTGACAAAAGGGACACAGGTGGTGTGGGGACACCAATTCTGTCAAAGAGAAACTGTGCTCATTTCTCAATGGTGGGAACACATTCAGCCAATCCAATGGGCATGGCTCATGGCTGCATTTATTTACTTTTCTGTGAGGTGAGTTTATTGATTGCAAGCAATGCTGTGCACATGCCATTGCTGGTGAGGGAGGCATTCTGTAAGCGCACAAGGACAAGCTCCACACATAAGGGAAGTTTGCCCAGAAGACAGGAGATCCTGTAGGCATTATGTCTCATGAGAAAGGATCGGGGGCTGTAGCTCACCTGGAAGTGCACTCGTCTAGTATGCACAAAGAAAGCCCTGAGTTCAAACCCCAGCACAACATAAATTGGCCATGACAGTGCACACTTATAATCCCAGCACATGGAGGCAGAAGAATCGAAAGTTCAAGGTCACCTTCTGCCACGTAGTGAGTTTGAGGCCAACGTAGCTTCCATGTGACTGGATCTTAGAAACAAAGTAAAACTAGAATAATATTTAAAAAGGAAAGAGAAGAAAGGGAACTATGACGGCCCAGTCTAGGAAAGACTGTGTGTGGCTGGTCCACTCGTCTTGGTAACTAACCATGACATGCTTGCTCAGGGCAAAGGGACCGCAGCATGGGTAAGAGTAAAAGTTATAAACGTCTTCCACATGACCAGTTGCAGACACAAGGGCTGTAACCGTGCCAGTATTTCCTTCCACTGCTATATTGTGAGGCTATGTGACAGTCTTATCAATTATGGCATCTACAACAAAGCACAGGAGCCTTATAAGCAATAGAAATGCACTTCTCAGAGCCCCGTAGACAGCAAGCCCAAGGTCTGAGTATTGGCACAGTCAGAGTCTGCGGAGCACCCTTCTCCACACTGCGCGCTGCCAACTCCCCTTCATTTCTCCAATGGCAAACGACACTCTTCAGACTCTTTTTTTCTTTAATAAAGATACTAATCCTTTCATAAGCCAGGCCCATCCTTCTGGGAGGCAGTTCTCTGGTAATGGGGACAACTACAGCTTTCTCCTCATATTTGTTCTCATTTCTGGAGAACACAAGTTTGTAATTTTAGAACTTCAAAAAGGACAATCCCAAAATGTCACTGCTACAATGTTATTAAGGGACAAACACCCAGGGCCTGTTGAGCTGACTTCCACACAGCCCAGACTCACCTTGGAGTGCCTTCAAAGGAATGTCTTTGAGTGTGAACACATTTCTTTGGGAGATGGGACTTCATTTTTACATACTCTTTAGAATTATTTTGTTTTTGTTTTTCAGTTTCCAATTCTCACTGTGGCTACAGAGTGTGATTTCCGAAATCGTACTTCTTTTCTGTTCAAGTGATTGGAGATGAAATGCCAGAAATGCATTCAAACCAGGGAAAAAGTAAACTCTTCTGACAATAGTAGCATGTGTGCCCATGTTGGGCAGTCCTCTGCCCCTGCCAAGATTAGGATGGGGCCAGGAAGCCCGAGGTATAGTCTCCACAAGAGTCATTTGTGGTCTTGCCAGCCAAGAGAACTACAAAGACAAGTGACCTCTAGTGGAACCAGAAACACTTTTCTGAGCTTGTCTATGTAGAAGTTACTCTTCACATAAAGACTTAGTGATATAAGAGTTCAGTATGAAGACACACACGTGTGCGCACACACACACACACACGCTTTCACTACAACATCTCTGAAAAAGTGCACCTTGCCTTCGTTAGGCACAGATTATGCAGAGTGCCAAGTTTCCTCATTTCAGTAGCCCTGGGTTTGACCTAATAAGTCATCTTTTTCAGAAAGATATTTTATTAACTATTTTCTGTCACAGAGTGTTTGTGCCCGATGTATATGCTTGTCCTGATGCCTGTGGAGACTAGAACACATCAAATCCCCTAGAATTAGAACTACAGGCAGTTGTTAGCCACTGTGTGGGAATTCCAGTCTGAAAATCTCAATCCTCTGGGGGAGCAGCCAGTGCTCTCAACCACTAGCCACCTCTCTAGCAGTTGGTTTTTTTGTTTGTTTGGTTGGTTTTTTTTGGTTTGTTTGTTTGTGTTTTTTAACTTTCTTGGTCAGTCTCAAACTATAGCCCAGACTGGCCTGGAACTCATGGCAATCCTGCCTCAGCCTCTCAGGTGTTGAAAGGCATACATACCACCATGCTTAGTCTCGAAAACTCTAGAGCAGTGTTTCTCAACCTTCCCAAGGCTTCAACCTTTTAATCCAGTTCCTCATGTTGTGGTGACTCCAAACCATAAAACTATTTCTGTTGCTATTTCATAACTGTAATTTTAGTTATAAATCACACTGTAAACGGTTTTGGAGATAGAAGTTAGGGATAGTGGGGTCAGAGATAGGGATCACGACAGGTTGAGAACCACTGTTCTAAAATGAATCTCACGTGTGGTGCTGTAACCAAGGCCTTGTGCATGTTAGGCAAGTATGCTACCACTAAACCCTGTCTTCAGCCCTAATTTCCCATGTCTCACTCCTCCCTTTCCTATCTCATTATTTCAAAGGGTCACCATCTTGTAACTTCTCTGTGTGTCTGCAATGTACCTCAGGTGGTCTGACTAGACCTTGGTGACTTATTTCCCATTTATCTTGGTCCAATTACACTGCTGGAAAATATGTATCAGACTCTCCATGTGGATGAGCACTGTCCAAGACTCTACGACTAGGTAACGTACACTTGTCTGTTGCAGGACATACCCCAGTCGCATGCCCTATAGGAAGCTAGGCCACCCCTGATCCTCCCCATTAACTTGTGATTAAATACTGTATTTAGAAACAATATGTCCACTTACCATCTTCTCTCCTGTGTATCTGGAAAAATAATTTTCTTGGCTTGCTCCTTAGCTTTTGCGGCAAATGCCTATCACCAATTTGAAGAGTATGCACTTTTTTTTCTGTTTAAATTTGAATCATTTAGTGTCTTTGTGTGGGTAGGGTTCAGGATGGGATCTTTAATGACAAAATAGATACACTGTTAAACGTGTATACATTTTCAGAAAACACAAGATCAGAAGCAGCACACTGAGGCCACATGCAAATCTTCTTTTTCTTGTTCTAGTGTCCCCTCCCTTCTCCCAAGGCTACTCCAGGGTCATGTTTCACCATCATTGCATAAACCCATGCAGGACACCACATACTACAAAAAACCAAAACCAAAACAAAACAAAAACCTGGAATGTATTCACATTCTGGAACATACCAAAATTAATGTCCACTTTAACATTTCCACAGAGGTAATTCCTGCAACTCCTATATAAATGTAGGATGGAGTTCCACAGACATAGGACATTAAGGCCAAAAAAAAAAAAATATTAATTTGTCTAAGTCACTTTGGAGATTCAGAATCTAAGCACCTAAAGTCCAAGATGGCTGACATGAACCCTGTTGGAACAATGGATATTGCTGCCCATGATGGTGATTAGTTATCCGAACTGGTCTAACAGAGTATGTACTTCTTAATCATCTTTCTATTTTCGCTCTCCCTAAAGCTTGTGAGACTCCAGAAACTTCCTGGTGTGGTGGTTTGAATGTCCTTGGCCCAGGGACTATGAGGACGTGTGGCCTTGTTAGAGAAAGTGTGTCGTTGTGGATATGGGCTTTGAGACCCTCCTCCTAGCTGCCTGGAAGATAAATCTTTGTTTACCTTTGGAACAAGATGTAGAACTCTCAGCTCCTCCTGCACCATGCCTACGTGGATGCTGCATGTTCCTACCTTGGTGATAATGGACCGAACCTCTGAACCTATAAGCTAACCCCAGTTAAATGTCGCCCTTTATAATACAGAGTTGCCATGGTCATGGTGTCTCTTCATAGCGATGGAAACCCTAACTAAGACACTAGCCTTTCTCATTTTTACATCCATATCTTCCTGGATTAACTTACATGTTGACAGTGCTTTGCCAGACTAAAAACTATGACTTCCTTCCACAGACTTTCTAGTCTTCCAGGATGGGTCAAAGGCCTTGTCCTCAGCTCACATTCTAGTATGGAACACAGAGTGGAAAGCAGGCTGGTACGCACAGCTTCCTGCGTGGTACTCTTGGGGGTAGAAAAATGGTCACTGCTGCCTAGCTCTTGGCCCACAGTCACTTATCATTAGCATTCAATGTTTAGTAAAACACAACAGACTAGATGGTAGTCTAGTCATTCTGCCATCACAATTCAATGATCGTCTAAATCGTCCTGGCCAAGACTTTCAAGACGCTCTACATGGAAACATTCTTATAAAATTCTTATCCCTGGCTGGGAAATAAAACACCTACTATGGATACAATTAGGGAAATTTTAATTCTGTGTATCAAGTAGCGTTGCAATTACTAAAATTCTTGAGTGTGATCATTGCACAGTATTACCATGTACAGATACTATCTTATTCCAAAATGTCAGTGTGCTGTGTCAGAATGTAATCACTGTCAATTTAGAAAATGAAGGATTATGTGTCCATCTCCCTCTGCCAAACACACACACACACACACACACACAGAGGGGGGGGGAGGGAGGAAGGATGCCATAAGGTAACAGGAATATACATGTTCATTGTATTACTCTTGCATTTTCCCCTGAACCTGTAAGATTTTTTTTTTTTTAATAGAACAGGCTGAGAGAAATTAAGAGTATAAAACATTTAAAAAATTTTAAAAAGTACTTTAAAAATGGTTTGGGCAGAGAAACCAAGAGTACAAAAAACCCACAAATCAGTTCTGAAACCAAACACAGATATCTGTTTATTTATGGGCTATCATTTTACATCAATTCCATTAAAATCTAAACCAGTTTGCTGTGCTCGTTAAGTGGCATAACAGTATTTTAGTTAAGCTGGGAGTCACAGGACTTGCACACTTTTATGAATGTAATGCAAATACTGACGACACAAGGCATTCACAGTTATAGGCTGGCTGCTGTTCATTTCACAGCAACGCCCAATAGAAATTATTTTATGAAAAAAAGCAATCCACATTTTGGTCTCATTTACAGATACCCAACATTTCAGTTGGTCAATGAGTTCTATACAATTTTATACAGCTATGAAAGGATAAGGGATAAGGCTTACAGAGGTATTTTAGCAGTTGTAAAAATAAAAACCAAGGGCACAAACTAAACTCTTAAAGCTTTCTGTATAAACTTCAAAAGTATGGTTAGGATGAAGACTTAGAGGCAACAGAAAGAAATCTGTGAAACCAGAATCTAGAGATTCGTCTAATCAGTTATCAATACTGAACTCAAGAGTTCATGCTTCAGAAGAGGCGCGCCTAAGGCTACCATGGGTATCTGGCAAATCCTGCCAGATAACTTCTACCTAGTGCAGTGTAAACGTCTACAAGATGCATTCCCCAACAAGAGGGCGTTGCCACACCCTGAAACACAAGTGAAGGAGGAAGGGTGGCTGGAGCTCAGGTACCAGAGAACCGAAGGCGCCCTGCCCTGGCTTCTTCCAACGATGGCCGGAAGTGCTCTTGGTGATCATTCAACTTGGATAACTTGGCGATTCTTCAAGAAAAGATGTCTTATTAACGGTCTGACTCCCCTTAAAAATAGCTCTGTAAAATCGAGAAATCCAAAGGCAAGCCACAGTCACAGTGGTTTGTTTCTCGAGGCAGTTCAGAGATTATCTGGAGTTGTAAATATTGGTCATCCCCTCCGGAATGCTGACTTCCATTGGACACATCACGGTGGTTTTTACTTGAGTCTTTAGTATCAAAATGTTCACTGTAGATGAGATGGACTGTCTCACCCTGGTAATAACCCTTCATTTGCACATTCACTGTGCTTAGTGTTTAAAACCTTCTCTAGACTCCCACACAGCATTTAAAACAGTCCCGTCTATGATCCATCTTTGCATCGAGGCAATTGACAGCTGATCTACCTCAAGAACAGTCACCCTGAGAGAATGATTCTTTAACCTTGGGAACACCTAAAAAGGAATCCTTCTCCACAGAGCTGTGCCTGACTTCAGCAGTCCCCACTGTCACACACCTGTCTGCACTGGAATGCCTTTCACAGTCTCAACAGCTGTGGTTTTCCAAGAGTTTACCTCGTACTCAGATACCAATTCATAACTGAGACTACAGACAGAGGACGATTAACTAGGCTAAAGCAATATTGGGTTGTTGGTTTTTTAAACTTCTGATGTATTTCACAGCAAACCAAACCTCATTATTTGGTAGAAAAAGGCAAGGATTTGCATTCCACCGTATCATGATTTTGTATATGCACGCACACGATATATACATACAACATTTCTGTCTTTGGTGGTTCAATCAGGGAAAGAAATAATATGAAAATAGCAACATTTTGAAAAAGGAACTGTAAGACAGTGGTCAGGGGTAGCATTGTCTGTGTGCTCTGCTCATTTAATGCCATTTAAGGTTCACATTTAATGCAGAAGACTTTTTTTTTTTCTTTTTCGGCCGAAAATCCCAACATCTTCCAGTCATCACCTGCCTGGGCAGGATCTTATCACACTAAACCGTTTACCCAGCAAAAGTCATTAGCTCTTCACTGGGTTAAATCTTAGATGTGTTTTCATAAACTTCAGGGACTGAGTGAGTCGTAGCACCAAATAGTTGGGAAAACCTGTTAACTGTGTACTTCTGCAAGAGGGGCAAGACAAGCAAATACAAACCTTAAACATAAGACTTAAGATACAAACTCACAACTACCACTGTGTTGGCTCTGGTTTTCTCATCCACATAATGGCTATTGCCCTTCTGTACGCGTGACTCAGGGAATGACAAGTGGCCCCTCCGAGAAAGGTCCCAATGTGAACAGGGTTAGTTCAATGCTGGTGGTTTCCAGTCCACTGCCTGCAATGGACATGTTGCCAGGAGACGCCCAGCAGGGAGGAAACAAAGACAGAAAACAAACACCCCTCACTTGTGGTTTAAAACAAAAAACAAAAACAAACAAACAAACAAACAAACAGAAAATTCCACAACCCCAGGAAGGGGGTTACAGACACCATAAAAGGTAACTAAAATCTCAAGCCATAGTTCAAAGTGCTTTGCAGTTCTGCCACCAGCAAACCAGGAGGCTCATGGAGGAGGCAAAGGACATTTGACTTACAGTGGCACGGAGAGCTGCAGCAGACCAAACACAAATACGGAAACTTCAGCTACAATGTAAAATAAGGAGCAATTTAAGAAGAAGGAGGAGGAGGAGGAGGAAGAGGAGGAAGAAGAAGAGGAAGAAGAGGAGGAGGAAGAGGAGGAGGAAGAGGGGGAGGAGGGAAGGAAAACCCCATAAACCTGTACTTTTTGTGTTAGAAAGGCTTTGTAGCATGTCATGTGTCTGTGCACTCAAATAAATTATAGCTTTTATAACTTTAAAATATCAAAGTTGTCAAGGAAACCAAGTCATATTTGGCTTATGCTACAGTAAGTCATGGCTCCTACTTCTTCCAGAAGTTGGCCTCTTAAGCAGTGAAGTTAATTCTGGCAATACTTGCTTATGGGGACAGTTATGTTTTCTGAAATGCTACATCTGACCAAGTAAAGTATAACTGGTTCATTTGAAAAAAAAGGGGGGGGGACTAAAAATATGCCACAAAATTATTTTTACAATACATTTTTGCAGAAATAATCTCTAGGTGAAGCTTTTCATTTTATACACATATACAAAATTTAAACAGCAATATACACATAATCACAGTGAGGACGTTGGCACATTCACCAATCTGTAGTGTGAAAGCGAACTGCAGAGCAGCCTCCAGGGGACAACGCGACACGTCAAGCAGAACGGCCCATTCAATAGCAAACACCAAAACCCTGCGAGAGGCAGACAGTGCAAGAAAAGCAGCATGCGCTTCGGTACAAACAGCAGTTTATGGCTAATGGGTGACATAATCGTGGTAACAGTGACTCTCTCGCTGCTATGCATAAGGTCCTAGGACATCTGCTTGTCTTTATACCATTCCACAAACTCGTCCAACAAAACTGGCCCTGGAGAGACAAAGAACAAACCATGTGAGGCCTGGAGATGTTGCGGAGGTCCAGCACTCAGCTAACACACATGGGGCCCGAGGTTCAGCTGGAAGGAAGAGAAGGCAAAAGGGAGGGAGAGGGAAGGGGAAGGCGGGAGGCCCTTCCCGGGGAGGAAGGAGCAACCGCGACCACTCACTCAGCAGGCAGCCGGTACTCACACGCTCCGTCTTCATCGTAGTTGCTGAGGTCGAGGCTGACTGTCCTGCTGAACTCCAGCACGTTGTACCACTGGTCCTTGTTTATCACTTTATATTTTGATTGCTGATGGGGGAGTGACATCATTAGTGACACAAACAAGGGGAACGGTTTCAGCTTCTGTGTGAGCCAACTTAAGAAAGCTCATGCAGGGTCAGTTCAACTGAAGCACCAATCTAGGAAGATCGGCAGAGAACGCAATTTAAAAAGGCAATGTTTTCAGTGCACTCTCATTGTAAGGCCGCATCTAAACCAGTGGCAGCCCCCGCTTCTCAGCAGTGCTGCAAGGTTAAATGAGAGGACTACACAGTTTACAGAAAGTGCTTTAGCCAGAACTTGGCACACAGTAAATGCCAAACCCAACACTACAGTGCTGCTCGATGCCAAGATGCAGCCTTGAAGTGCATGCATCAGGCAGCCACTTGCTGGGGACTACGTAAATGCTGCCAGTGCCTCAGAGCCAGAACTCTTGCTGTGACTCTCAGAGAAAGAACTGGAAGAAACATGAAGTGGTTGCTCTATTGCCCTTAGACATGAAATCTGTTACAGGTAGATTAATACAATATCTTAGAAACTTAAAAGCAAAATCCAGAGCCAGAATTTTAAAAATCCTTATGGCAATAAATAAATATCAAAGTTAAACCATATATATATATATATATATATATATATATATATATATATTATAAACTATATATAATATATAGAATACATGGCAAAGAGTCAAGTCAAAGTTTTGAGGAGGCAGGCACAAGACAGGCTGGAATGGAAGAGTTGCTATCCTCCTTCTAAAATAAAAAAATACAATGTACATGAGAGCAAAGCACAGACTTTAACTTCTGAAGTATAAAAGCTTCAGAAGTTCCAAAACAGCCAGTTAAGTTCCTGGGACTAAGTAATGTCAAATTTACTCACAGCCCCATCTTTTAGCCAAAGGACCCTTCACCTGGCGGTTCAAATCCTACTAAACTCCCGTGTACAGGAACCTACTTCCATTTCTGTTCCAATAGTGACGGCTTATGTCATGGAACTGTTAGAAGCTAGAACCAATCCTAGGTAGAACAAACCATCCTACCAACAAGTAATTAGCAACTTGTATTAGCTTTTTACGAAGTTCCAGGTAATCTTAGAAGTCATTTCTAGTAACAAGAATAACATCACTTGGTTTTTGGACTACTATATAAAGCAAGTAGTAAGAAAGATTACTTCAAGTGAGAATTGACTTGAGCAAGGTACAGGATTCTCTCAAAATCCTACACTCATCCCTGAAAGCAAAGGCCATGCTTCAGAGGGCTTGAGCAGGAGGTGAGCAAAGCAGATGCTACATTCGACAGTGTAAGCAACTCATGTCTCTGCTTCGTTCAGGTTCTGCAAAAGGACATTTCACCAAAACCCATTGCTAATTATTGGTTGCTCAAAATTTCTGATCACTGTGAAAGCAAACAGCAACAATGTAAGGAAATGCTGGTTGTTTCTGACACTAGGCTAAGCACATTTAAACTGAAGAAAGTACTGCCAGTGTGCCTAATCCAGTGCTCACAGCTCTCCAAGTACTCCGCCAGGCACTGGGACATGAGCCATGAGTAGATTACAAACTAGTTTTGGTGAGAGGCATATGGCTCGTGTTAACTGGCTTAATTAAGCCTGGACATTCATCTGACAGTAACCCTGAGTTCTGTTGCTACAAAGAGCTAGGAATCGAGCACCAGTGGAATCTCCATGGGCTTGGGAGGAGCGAGGGAGCGCTGTGGCTGTTCAGACACACAACTTGACACAGAAACACAACTTGACACGAACACACAGACACACTCCAAAACATGCAGCTGCTGACAGACAGCTATCAGGGAACCACAATCCTGTGAGCAAACAGCTACAGCAAATAAAATCACATAAAATGGTTAGATGAAGTATGTGTTAGTGTTAAGCAAGCAAACATAACATTTCATAAAGTAGTAACTTGGTACCTCTAAGAATTGGTGAAAAACTGGAAAAAGGGGCCAGATTTTTCCTAATAACAGTCCCAACATGCACTTGGCAGTGTTTATGTCTAGGCTGCGCTGGTCCTTTTCCTGTTTAACAAACAAAAACAAAATGAATCACAAACTCTAATAAACCAAACATGTAGTTCACTTCAGCGAGAAGTTGGTAAACAGACGGCTCACTTATTACACATCATAAAATCCTGAAGGGGACGAAGGATGGCAGCCAAGACACAGTGGAGACCTAACATTTGAGTGTCACACAGACATTTATTTTGAGAAAGACTGATGCCAAGAGAATAACTTTACTCTAATGCCTTCTCTATCACGCAGTAGTATCTACAATCGTTTCCGGCAGATGAAAACCACGGCCTGCTTGCTTTACTTTATGGTATTACTAGAGTTACAACTGCTGACCGGACCCCTGCAGTGAACTCAGTGGACTCAAGTATGCTGTTTTTGAGTACTTTGAATTGGGTTTCCCCAGAGACTCATTTTTCCAACAGCTTTATCTTGTATAGTAAATATTTTTCTTCTACCTAAATACACTGGAATTAAATTCAGTTCCTGGGAAGGTTTGGAGCCCTGGAGCATCTCCCAATCAGATGACCTTCTCATCCAGCTGCTTTAGGGAAGCAGGGTCTCTGTGTTTCCTTACGCTTTCTTACCTGGCATGTTTTACACCTGACTCATAGCACAGTGTCTACTGACCATGGGAAACTGGAAAACAGAGCGAATGCATATATGCAGAGTAAGCTTATTCCACTTTTAATTGTAATTAAAGATGCTATTTCTCGTTTCACACACATTCCATTGTAAAACTTAAGCAGGCAGTTCCTACAGGAGAAAACTATTCTCCAACACAGGAGGCAGGCTCACCCACCTACAGCTTTCCTTCATGTGGTCTATCACAGAGTGAAATCTGCAGAAGGACTTTTCTACAAAGGGGTGAGGTGCTTGGCTCTCCCACTGGAGTAGAATGTCAAGTGTCCACCACATTAAAGAACCACGATGCCACCACCGTTGGCCACCCACACCTCCTAACAAGAGCAGTGACATGCTGGTCAGTGCACAGTGAGTTTCCTACTCGTGCCACCGCTCCTCAGAAGACTTAAGTAGTGGAGCAATGAGGCTCACTCAACACACGAGCAATGGAAAAGAAGACACAGCAACTTGCCATTTAAGAAGGACGTACAGGATGGCTTCTGGTCATAGTCACTACGTGTGATAGCTGCTTATATTAATCCAGGTCAAAGGGCGCAGCATCGGCCTTCTTTGTTCAAGGCTACACCACGGAAGCCTGGGGATGGAGGACATCTCTCTGCACCTGGGGATGGAGTGCCCATTGCTCTGCCTAGCCTTTGGCCAAGCAGATGGTTCCATCGTATCTTGGCAGCACTAACTCAGCTAGAGGAAGAGGACAGGAGAAATAACCTAACGACGGACAGTCTTTCACTGCCCTGGCTGGTGTATCATCTCTCTGCTCTTGTGCTACACTGGGAAAATAGCATCGCTTAGCCTGAAATGTGGGCACAGCAGACAGCAACAGCACACCATGTCATGAAGCAAGCCACAAGAAAAATAGTAAACTGCTGAGAAACACACACGTGACCACAAGATCGGGCCAAAGTCCATTTATCGAAAGTGTGTTCAGCACCAACTGACCACACTGGCACCCTAAAAAGCTTCCTTTTGCTGAGTTTATAAGCATTCGTTAGCCCCCACACCTCTCATCTTGAAACGTTGTATGTCTCCTGTCATCATAGGAGCCTTGTCATTCTTGACATGTACTACAGTGACAAAATAAAAAAGGGACAAAAGACCTGGACAGACTCTGCAACACGGCAACCGTCTGACAAAGTGATGTCTGCAAGGGCTCTGCTGCACGTGTGTGGCAGCCATGCCAGAACACGGAGGGAAGGAAGGCGTGAGACTCACACGAGGACAGCTGAACAGCACTCGCTCACTCCTGCTCTGCAGGGTGCAGCCAGCCGCTCCCAATCACTACCACCATCTTCTGCCTAGCGAACGAGAGAGAGGCATTATGGATGCACGTGCCACCTGAACAGGAGCATCTCACTGACAACCAGCAGCACACATGGTGGCCTTGTGGCCAAATGCCATGACCAGAGTGGTAAACATCCAAAAGCCGTGGGAATGCCATGGTGGAGAGGGCCCACGGCAAGCTCCTGCACTCAGAGACTCCCAGGTGCCCTGACAACAATGATTTCTGTGAGGCAGCTCCTGACTCTGATGAAATGGTTCTGTCAGAATATCACCAGGCAGCCAAAGGCATAACGGGCTTTATTTAGTTACTTATTTAAAAATCACCTTCTAAATTCAAGGCAGAGACAGAGACAGTCGAAAGTCCTTGGCAGCTACTAAAGGAGTGAGCAACCACAGGTCTGGAGCTGCTGCTCCTGGACACGGAGAAGCAAGGGCACATGGGCAGGTACGGACAGACGCTCATCTCTTGCTGAGACAGCCACCAAGAGCCCTGACAGCGCTGAAGGACAAGAAAACACAACTCTTCTGTCTTCCCGCCCACCTCCAGACCCAAGCCTTTGTAAACTTTAACATGCTAAAACAAAGAAGTCATTCTGTGTCACTACTCAAGTAACAGAACCCCAGCAGGTCTGGATACTCCCTACATTCTGACAGACCCCGTCTTCCTTAGAGAGTAAAGCAGCGCATAGCACCAGGCTTGCCAGTGCAGCCCTCAACCTCAGGACCTTGGCGAGACTCCAAGATGGCACACTGCCCAGAGGAGTGCACTCCAGAAACCTAATACTCATGACTAATGCAGAGAAATTACCAGGGTTTATTAAAGTCAGAATTTTTAGGAGCCTTTGATTATGTCAGAGCATCCTAGTCTAGTCTCTTGCAAGGGGTGAGAAATACTTTTTCTCAAGGGACACTTAAGGACTTATCAAAAACTAAAGAGTCTTACGTATGTAAAAGTCACTCCAACATTACAAAACAAGTCTTTAAAGCTTTATGTGTCTGTATTGCTTTATCAGAGTCCCCTGGTGGCCCATTACAGATTGTCACTCTTTAATGGCTTCATATTTATATTAAACTTACTTTTTTTATTGAAGATTTTATGCTTTCATTTTAAGTCCAAAGTTTTCTAAGAGGCTTTATTAGACTCCAAAACAAAACAAAAGTCCACAGAAGCAGCCATGACTCCTAAGGTGAGTGGTAGAAACCAGGTTACTAACTGACATATGAAACCCAAGGCCTGACTGAAGATCAATCCCATGTGTCCTGGCATGGGGGAGGGCAGCCTTCGTAGTGCAGCCAACACGTAAGGAGAAGTTGAAAACTGAGGGCTCAGAAGAACTCAAACCCTCAGTACTGTAGCTCAGCTTATGAAACGTGAAAATATGATGACCTAGCCTTTTGGAGTAGGATTTTTAAAATGCACAAACAAACAAAAAAAAACCCAAAAGTCACAAAACCTGAGAAATATCCTCTCATTGAAAAACAACAAAACCAAAAGAACAATGCTCTTAGAACAGAACCAACAGCATTAGCGTACAGTTCACAGAGCTTGCAAGCTCAGATTTTACCTCAGGAGGCACTGCCTCCCTTACCGTCATGTCTGGTCAAACAGATACTGAGAAGACTCAGCAAGGACACTTTCCTGAACCTGTGTCAGAAGACTCCCAGCTACTTCCACTTGTGGGAAAGAAAACACACCCCAATCTTTACATTCAGACTCAAGCCGTGCTCACCTCACGTAAGGAAGTGACAGATGGTGGAGAGGTCCACGCTCTGAGGTCTATTCTGATCCCAGCCCTGAGTGCTTCCCTCTGAGGTGCTTCCCTGAAACAACTCTGAGAACAGAGACTCCCAAGCCAACGGGCTGGACAGCAACCCCTGCGAAAGCAATGCAGCCGCTGACAAGTCCAAGCCAGACTAGTCCATTCCCAGGTTACGGACCTGAGAGGAGATGACGGTGCTGTACTGACTCCATCCTTCCTCACACCCAGACCTAGTTTCTGTTCCCACTGCACTGGACAATGAGGTTATGAGGGGAAACTGGTGTGTGTGTGTGTGTGTGTGTGTGTGTGTGTGTGTGTGTAAGAGAGTGGGGGGGGTACAGCTGTCAAGAGTCTGCGCCTTAGGAGTTGTATAGAAAATGAAACTAGACAAATACATTCGTTAGTGAGAATTTGGTAGAGACTGGAGAACAAAATCCTCTTGTTCTTATCAGATTTCATTTAAGACAGCAGGAAGAATTCGGTTGTGCACAAGACCCAGCACAGCCCACAGCATCCACAATCACTTGCAGTTTGTTGTCCCTGAAAGGAGACGGTGATGCTGGCTATGTGAGCGCTCGAACTGCCAAATCTCTTCCTCAGAGGCGCTGAGCAGCAGTAACTGATGGCTTTGCTACTGTTGAACAGCAAGCCGACCATCAAGGCCCTGACTAACTGGATCTGATAACCAGCTAACTTGTCACAGGATCTTTTCTCAAGCTTTTATGTGTCTTCTGCCTCCATAAACATCCTCCATTCAAATGCTATTTTAAGAAGTAGAAAAATAATCAAGCCCCCACACTCACATTCATTTTTCCGGTCCATTATTCATTCTCTCTCTCTCTCTCTCTCTCTCTCTCTCTCTCTCTCTCTCTCCCTCTCTCTCTCTCTCTCTCTCAGCCTTCCATCGCCATCCTGAAGGCCTCTTCTCTTCACATACTCCAGCTCTGCCTCACCCCACTGTCCTGTCCCCCAAGTGCCACCTCAGCTCATCTCTCTCTTCCCCAGCAGGCTCCTCCTGACTCCTGGGCTCTAAGCCCACACACTTCTCACTTGAGGCCATGGCTGTTTTGCATCAGGGCAGGAGATCAAAGTGGTAGGAAGGCCACCCACAGTGGAGCAGGGATGGTGGCCACAGTGTAAATTCAGCCCCTGGTCTCCCCTGACTTCTGCTACTGCTGCTGACAGCAGGCCCACTGCTTGCAGCGGTTACCTTCTCAAAAGGCCAACCTCCCCAACTCTCAATACAGGAGCCAGCCCCACTAGAGAGACTAGAACAGTCAGATACACTCAGACTGACTAAAAATTCCTCTACTTAGCTCTCTC